CTTGTCACTTTGATTAATTGGTGCGATACTGAAATGTAAAACAGCACAGCGTCACAATGCACACTGAGCTGTTTCTGATTGGGAAAGACAAACATGTCAGGCTTAAAATACAGAACATTAGGTGAAATCTCACTAAGTCCTCACCAAACTTTTAACTTGAGTCAGGGGTTTTCTGACGTTGAACCGATGAACTTTAGAGATGTAAGTTAAGAGAGCGTGAGGTGGAAATTTCCACTCAGGTTTGGGTTTTTGCAATGAGGTACAGATGAACGCTCCCTCCCTCACACAATTTGTCTCTCAAATGGATCACATCGCAGCATAATAGCCTTCATTTATCTCACAGTCACCCCACTGAGCTTGAAATTGGCTATAATTGTAGTGAATTATGTTTTTAAGCCACTCGGGAAATTTTTATACACACCTATAAATAGCACTCTCTTTATCCTCTGAGATGACGGGTGGCGTACTTGTACAGTAAGTGAGAGGTTATTTCAGAGTTGCTGTTTTGTCTTCATTTCTGACTTCTGAGCTCGATATAAAAGTCATTAGGAAGGTTCACTGATGCCTCACAAAAAATGTAGCAGATTTTAGTGAAATTTATACAACCTATGAGATGACGGTAGACGCATTTGATCACGACAGTTAAGATCTTGCAAAAATACTGAAGCTTCCCACATCAATTTCTGTATGAGAGATTATTTCAGATAATGTACGCGAGTCCAACCACAACTAAACAAGTTAACCCTGTGATTAGCTGCTAACCGCATAGAAATGTGGCAACTTGCTAACTAAACTAGCTGCCTTGATAAGTCTCTAATTGACTATTTGCAAATGTTTAGAGCTGTTAATATTGAACTTTAGCTGATTGAGATGGCCGGAAGACAAATATGCAAAAAAAAGGTACATTTCAACACTGTTTTGAAGGAATCAGCGTGCTGCAGGCGATCGAGCATTGGCCCACCAGTTGCACATCCCGCCACTCAAATTCATGGAACCATCACCTTCTTTGCCTCCGCTGCACACGGGTGATACTGCACATCAGAGACTTATTATTGAAATGAGACATTTTTGACAATGAGCCCTCTCCACATGAGAGCGGCCTCCTGAACCCTCGCAATGCGGCTAAAGGAATAAAATAAATGACATTCGACAGATTATTGGATCACGCCACCTGCGCTTCTTTGCCAATTTCAATGTAAAAAACAATCTCGCTGAAGTTCAAAACGACCACGACCAGCTCGCTGCCGGGGTTGAGTTTCCTCGGAGGCAAGCAAGGTCGCTCGTTGAATGGGCTTGGGGTCTCTCGGCAGCTTATTGTTTTCGTGGGCCATTGTGAGCCTATTCAGTCTGAGATACGCGGCCATTATTCAGTCAAACATGGCAAATGCAAACAGTTGCATTGTAGAGCTGTTTTAAGTCCGTGGGGAGCTGATGTCGTTTTTTTGAAACTGTGCGCATGTGTGTGTGCGTCTGCCTCCATTTGCTCCACAGCGATACCGTATCTGTGAGATTTAGCTGTGAGGTTGAGTGGTTTCCATCACGCCGTTATCTCTGCGAGGCAAAGACAGCCGTTCTCACAAAAATCAACCCTTCTTCTCTCCGTTTTACTTATTGCTTTCGCTTGTGTTCAAAAGTGGAAACATTTAGCCGTCTTAGTGGCCCACTGATCCAACCGTGTGACACATTTAAAGGTTGACATGAGTCGTCTGTTGAGCATTTTAAAAGCCTCAGGCCTGCCACTGATTGGCTTTCACTGTGCCACCTTCAATCCCGTCTCAACACATGTACCAACCACTTTCACCCCGCGGTCCACTGGTAAACCCGCATAGTCAATGATGTGTGTAATTGGTGCATCCCAGGCCATTTAAGACCCGGAGATAGATTCATTCATTTTCTGCGCCTTCCCTGCACCTTTGAATCACAATCTTGATTATTGGGAGGTGGTTTTTCCACGAAACCTACAAGAATATACTGCTTGCTGTAAGACAACAAACACATTGTTTTAAAAATGAAAGTAGTAGATTAATTGCAAAATATTGTATAGTGTATGAAAGTACAGATAGATATTTGAAATGTTGTGAGATTTTAGAGTATTTGCAAAAACCATACTTAGTGCAGTGACAGCCAAGGAAATATTTTTCTATAACTATGATCAATTATGCAAAAGGTTTTGCTGGCCTTTTTTTTACAACAAACATCTGATGGAGCGAATCCAAGTCAGATTAAAGGAATGAAAAAAATCAACAATCCGCAAACAAAACAGAATAAGAAGTAAAATGCAAAAAAAAAATATGGTTGCTTTATTAGTCTAGTTGTCACATAACTGTTCTGAAAAAAATAGTACATAATAATAATAATATAATAATAATTATAAATAGTAATAAGCAGTTCAATAGTCCCGCTCCTACATTACTTATCTCTTGCCGGATTGCTTTTGCTTGATGCCGAATTTTCACAGAAACTAAGGAGTTTCGATCTTCATGGAGTTTAATGTATTGACCCACCCCTCTATTCTTTCCACTTTTGCTAAATCTCTTCAGTTTAAGCCCCCAAATGTTATTCAATGTGAATGTGTGATTATTTGTAGCAATACATCATAGTTATTTAATCGTTAAAATTTAAAACCACCAGATGGTTTACTGGGTCACAACTTTACTGTGTCCACAGTCCCCGTCTAAGGGAGTAATAAAAAACAGACTTAGAAGTGGGCAGATAACAAACAAATTACATTTTCTGTAAAGGCTGTAGATCAATGACGACCCTTAACGTTCCCTCAACACTGAAGTAGAAACACACACACACACACAGCTCCGGTATATTCGTACGTCCCAAATTGTAGCACACCACTTTGAACCATGACCTTTAAAAGGAAGAGTGGTTGGACAGACAAGAAGCTTTGGTTTAGGGCTGCTGGGAACCATTTTATTGACAATGGTAACCTTTAACTTGAGAGGCACATGAAGGCTGCACTAGATTGCTGGTTCATTACAGAAGTCTCTACAGACTACTGCGTACTACTTTTAGTGTTCGAGTGGAGCTTTCGTGGTTTGTATCAGATGATGCAGGGAGTGGATATTGTCTCTCTGTCAACGTGGTCAAAGGGACGCGGCGGAGATTCGAGAAAGGGTACTCGTAATCAAAATGGAATTACTGTTTGATATAGATGGAATCCGCACACCTACACGTGTCAGTACGGATATCCTGCTGACACGTATAGCTAACCCACTCACTCACTCTCACACAGGTGGATGGGTGAAAATCCCATACTATTTCTAAAGGAAAATACAATTCTCCTTGGTGGGTAATTGAAAGGGAAATGGTATTGGAATAGAAAACCGGGGGAAAACAGAAAAGGGAAAATAGAATGAATAACCCAACTGAGAAGTAGAGAGTTTATGATTTAAAGCATTCTAAACGTGGACACAAAGAAAATAAATACGTGAACAATTTTGATTGTGAACCACTTGTCTCGATGCATTAAAACCCTTCTCTAACTCGTCTGCTCCTCTTTATCTCTCCATTCGTGATATCATCATCCCTAATGCTGTGTAAATTATGTGTAGATTGTTTACGAAAAGGTGTTTTCGCACACAAACAGTTGCACGTGCGCATAGAACCTGCGCGTTCTGAGTCATTATCCCGTTGTCACATCTGCTGGCTATTAATCAGGCGCCAGTTAGCCCATCAACAGGCAGAGTGAAGCGGGGGACAACAGCAGGTTAAGCGCACGGGCAGGTGTACGCGCACAATCGCCTAACGCTTGCCGGATCATCCCCTCTGATGTGGGATCCGTGTGTCCATCTGGATATCAACTCAACAATGACGTGGAACTTTCATGATACTTTTGGCCGTGGGGTTCAAATGGGATGATACAAGTCTGTTTGTGGAGGAGAACTTTAATGTGGCCACAAGTTGGATGGCATGGGCTCTGAACCCCCCCGCTGCTACTGAGCCCTTCTACCAAGCTACACTGTATAAGAGATGTTTCTGAATGTAGCTCTTCATATTTCTAATGTGTTCCCCTCATAATGATGCTGACATTTGTCCTTAGGCCAAAATCTGACACCCTCAGAAATCCTAAATCAATGCAAACAAATCAATTTCAGCCTGAAAATGAACTTCACAGCAACGGCATACAGAGGTCAAACTAATTGGGTTTTCAGTTAAACACATACGTGTGGGTGTGTTTTCACATTGACAGCTGTCAGTATGACATCTCTTCTACTGATTCCCTTGTGGCACGACCTTTCCTGATCTTGCTAAATAAGTAGGCGCTTGCTTAAACCGATGTTCCCAATAGATCATTTTCCTCTCCCGCTTGTCCTTCCCACTCGGCTGGTCATTTGTGTATATCGGTACTATTTTAATTCTAAATTTAATGGGCTTGTAAATAAGGCGTTTAAGTTAGATTGATTTGTTGAGGAATATTAAGGCATAGCAAAATAAGATCATTAAAAAGTTTCTCCCATTCAGTGCTGTGATCTAGTAAATTCTAGAGTGTGTGTGAATATATATTATGGATAGAAAAACTACAAGGTCTCAACCTGCTTGTAAAGTTCACCGTGTAGGTAAAATAATAGGGATCTATTCTTTTACATTTCCATAGAGAATTACTGCAAAAGTGCCCTTTATAAGAAGCACTTACGCTGTACTTGCTTTACTGGGAGCTTTTCAGCACCTGCCTGTGGAGACATGTAAACGTACTGCAAGGCTCCCAGGTGTGAGTGTGAAACAGTTCGTTGTCCTTGCATAAATGAGTGCTTGAAAAAATAAAAAAGGCAGTGTGATCTTTAAAAGCGTAAAAGGTCTCTTTTCACTTTGGACTTTGGTCTCCTTTTCTCAGAGATGCTGTACGCAGAGAGTATTTTCACTGACGAGGGAATTCAGAAGTCTGAATAAAACATGGTTTGCGTCTATTTGACCTTTGCATTCAACATGAAGTTGACGATTTTGGTTCCCCCGCCCCCAAACTCCCCTCCCCTCCCCTCCTAACCACCCAGGTGAACGGGCGCAACTTCTCCAAGGTTGACCATGAAGAAGCAGTGGCGGAGGCCATCAGGCGAGACCCCATCGTTGTCCAGGTCCTCCGACGGACCCCCACCAGAGCGACGGCCGCTGCCGCACACAACCAGAGCGGCACGCCGCAGGATGTGTGCGTCGTGGACGTTTGCACGCAAACGGACATCACCTTTGAGCACATCATGGCGCTGGCGAAGCTTCGACCGGCTACTCCTCCCGTCCCTGACATCTGTCCCTTCCTACTGTCCGACAGGTGAGGGCAAACACTGACAATTAAGCTCACGGCCAACGCTAGAGGTTTTGGGTCTTGTGGTGAGAGGTATATGATGTGTGCAGAGCACACAAACTGAGATGACATGGACAGGTTCAAAAGCACCCCCTCCCCGCCTCTTTTTTTAGCTGAAACCAGGAGAAAAAGAAAATAAATGAATCTAAAGCTTCCATAAAGCTTCAACCGTTCTTGTTTTTAATTTCCTGTTAGAAATTAGTCCTCATGATGTGGAACCCCCCCCCCAGCATAGCTGAGCACTTTTTCCCTGCGATATCATTATCCACAGCCAAACTTGTATGCAATAATTGCTTCTGTGTGCTACACTCATTTTCTTTAATGGGAGCTTTTGCCCGCCCCGATTAAAAGCCAATGGGCTGATAGAGCGCTGCATCCATTTTGTGGCTATTAATGGGGCTTTGCTGGGCAGTAGATGAATTCAATTTATCCTAAGATTCTACAAATCTGACATCTTGGGTCAATGATTACGGAGGAGTCATTATCGTGGTGACAATTTGCAGAGGTCACGGCTTTTATGGGACGATTGGCCGTCGTTCACACTGCTTCGCTCAGAGTTTCATTGCAAAATAAGTTAACTAGGGGTTCTGCAATGTTTTTTGGCGCAAAAAAGCATTTGGAAAACAGGCACCTGATCAAATTGGTACGGTAACATCATTCTCCCAGTAAACAAGCCGTTTAATATAATATATAATAACTATCTCTTATTTGTTGTTTTCTCCAGCTGTCATTCCATCCACACCATGGAGCATGAGTTTTATGAATGTCCAGAGTACCTGTCCAGTATTCCAGTAGAAGTGGAGAGGACTGAAGAGTATGAGTATGAGGTAAGATGTTTTTTCTATCTTGCTGTTAGATGAATGCACTTTAAAAGTACTCCGAAATATGCTTTGGCCTTTCAGTTGACTTTTGTACTAGTTTGTTCTGGAACAAGATAACTTTATTGTTGCTGAATGTAATGTTCATGGTCTACAGAGAATATATTCCACCTCCTGTAATTTCTTACTGTAGGCAATCCAGTAATTCGTTATTCTCTGGTGCTTTTATTTTACTGTCTTTTGATGAACGCTGAGAAAAGTCCTTATCGGACTGGTAGCTTATTAATGCCATGGAGAGTATTTAGTTTTAAAATGAAGAATTAAAGTGATAGAAATGCTATACAAGGAAATTTGCTACAATCTACACAAGAATGTTCTGCATTGTATCAGCAAAGGTTTACGACGGAAGGCTATTCTTCATCTAGTTGCACCAAGAATCAGTCTCTCTTGAATCACCAGTTTGTTTCAGTCACATGCTGCTAGTTTCCCTCTTTTATCACTCACTGTCCTTCAGAAAAAAATCGTTACCTCCTTTCAAACAAGCACTTTGACGCTCAACAGACATTTTGAATGGTTGTGTAGTGAAAAGCAAGCACTCAGTGTTTGTAAGGGTGAGAAATGTTACAGAATGTTGATGAACCTTGCAATGATGAATTAGAAGTAGAATTTGTTAAGTTGTGCCATGTGACATAGTACAGCCATATATATAATTATTTTATATATACTGTATATAGTCTTGGTACCTCCATTCTAAATGATGAATCATGTCACTCAAAGTGGACCTCGAGGTCGTGATAGGTGACAATGATTGGTGGTGTTTGCTGCTGTCAATGGTGCTCCCTGGTTTTAATAGGCACTTCCTGGTTCAGTGAACTGCATTGTGGGTCATTAGGATGTCTCTGTTGCCAGCTGAGGTCTTACCATATAGCGTCGTCTGGATGAAAGAGTCTCTGGTATGTGTCAGGGGTGAGATGGGGGGGGGCGGACGGCTTGTGAGCGGTAATAGCAATAGTATTAGAACAAGCTCGGCTTTACCACACACACACACACACACACACACACACACGCGCGCAACCACCATCCCTACCTGCCAGATGTACACTTACCTCTGTCCATCCATGTGTATCTAACTGAAACACGAATGGCTTTCCTCTTGGATGCTACTGAATAGGGCTGCCATTCCCAGGAACATAACTTCTGACAGCTCGGGCTTCACTTCGGCTCTGATTGTCCACATGGGTTCTCCTGCTGTCATTCCACTGCTACTGCTGCTTTTCTACAGTAACGCCGAGCAGCAGACTGCAGACGTGGCAAATGAGTTTTACAGCCAAGTATTTGTTTTACCCTTTCGTTGTTAGCAAGCCATTCAAACTGCTAGCCCCAGGCTTACGTTCTGTACTGAATTAGAGGTGTGAGTTAGTTGTGTTCTGAACAGTTGCAAACCCCTTTGGATGCTGCAAAAGGCCAAAACCCCACAGTTACCATAACGTAACAAGATATTACATCTATTACCGCCTGATAAATGCCTGGATCTTACAAAATCCACACTCCGAGGAGGTTTACGTTCAACCAATGACCAATCAATAGGGTAGTGATTATCTTTGCTACACCTTAAAAGACACGTTAAAAGGAAACAATGGCAGCTGAAAGAATGTCTACGACACTACAACGTTAAAAACAGTGGTATAAAAAACGTGGCTCTGAAAGACAGCACACTGTCTCACATCCCTGTTTGTAATATACATGGGGTAAATGGGATCCCTCCCATTTTAAATGGTATTGGAAGTTCAGAAAACAAATTTCATCAATTATAACAATGCATTGTAAGCCACCTGAAATTAGTTTTGCTCGCTGCGCCATGATTCAAAACGGATTAGGATCCCACATCACAAACAGAGCTTCTCTACGGTTTCAGCACCCCTGGCTCCACACATCTTCACTGGAGGGTTTCGCAGTGCGATAACCGAGTCCAGTAATCCAGCGTACCGCCAAATGTGCACTGACATAAAAGGCGTCAGTGCCGTCTGATCTCAATGTATGCAGCAGTTATTTCACTGTCAGAGTTTGTGCAAATCAGCCAGTGTGCTGAACTGGTGTGAAGTGTGGGAAGTCGGGACCGGCACACGGTGAAACAATATTATAAACTCCTCACACACCTCAACCTTTGAAGGTCACGGCAGTCTACATAGGGAGTTAAATGCCACAGAAATTAATTACTTCCCCTGCCAATCTCTGCTATCAAGGCTTCCCGTGACAGAAAAATGGAAGCCGGGGCTTAATTCTTGCCCCCGTTCCTCATTTTACCCCAATCCCCTCCTTTCACAACTTCACAGCAGTGAAATGAATTTGGCAGCATGGGGTTAATAAAGATTACCCCTTGAGCCATCTTTATGTGATTACCTTTTATACACAGCAGAGATCAAAAGGAGCCGGTTGCGAGTCAAGCTATATTTAGTGACATTTCCTGTGGGATGGAACCGACCAATAGAAGACCATTACTAAAGCCATCAAAGACCTGCCCCTGTATTTTGATACTGACGGGCTTCTGTTTCATTAAAGGACATCACACATGCTGATGTGGGGCTTTGTTTATGTCTTTGCTGTGCCGTCCTCATTGTCCCGTCCAGTGGACTGAATGCAAAGGACTGCACCAGTTTTAATCTGAATCCCCAAAATCATACCTTTTTCTTTGAAAAAGACTACATAGTTATAAACAGGCAACCACTCTTAACAGGCACAAAGCCCAAATTAAAGAAAAAGGGGTTTGGTATTTTGGTTCTAGAAGGTCATGGTTGGGTGCTCCACCTCACACTTTTTTATTCAGCAAATGAATAAATAATAAGGTTTAATTGCAAAAGTTTGGTGTTTAGTTCCCTCGGCTCTAAAGAGTGTTGCTATTAGAAAAACTGCACTCGACACCGGTGTAAACTCATTAAACATTGAATAATGTTTGCAAATAGGAGACAGAATTGACACACATACAAGTCATGCGTCAATTCTCTATTCAGCCTCATTTCCAGTAACACCAGGCGGCTGTTGTCAGGGTGAGCTCTGATAAACCCACTGTACTCTGCTCACAACCAAACAGCTGACAGAGTTAGTATAGATGCATCCCTTAAGAGATGATGGAGAACAAAGAAGAGCTAAAAAGAGAGTAGTGCTTGGAATTTAGGCAATCAATAACACAATTCCCCAACCATACCACCTAAAGAACTAATTATATATTCAACTGCTAAGCTCTCACTTCAAGTGTAAATAATGATGTTGTTTTTCCATTGGTAAACACTATTAACACTATGTGGCTAAAGTGTCGCCATGTTAAGGGCCCTGTGGAGGCATCTGATAAGCTCTTAAGTACTTACATTTTAATTTAATGGGGACGCAATAGTGTATATATAGGTATATACATATAGGTAGCCTGGTAGCCTGGAAATAGATTTTCTTTGCCCTATGTTAATATTCATGACTCCTACTTCCCTCGCTCCCAAAAAAAGAGTTCAGTGGCAGTGATGCAGAGCATAAAAATCCTGTTGGACCTCATCTCCCATGGTTGGGGATTGTTTCAGCTGCTTTGTGAAACAGATGAGCAAACTCTCTGTTGGAAACCATAACCGAGGCTCCATGGGAAAACATTATCATTATCATGTTAAAAACCTCATCGCTTTGCTTGTGTGTGAAACAGGAAGTAGAGCTATGCAGGCAGAACAGCCTGGAGAAACTTGGCTTGACGTTGTGCTACAGGACCGACGACGAGGACGACAGCGGCATCTATGTCAGCCAGGTAGGGACAAATGTTCCTCTTGTTTGTTTCTACGCTGACACTAATAGGTTACATGTTTTCTTTTAAAGTTTTTCAGCAATTGCTTTTTCTAGTCGGCCGTTTACGTGGCGCCGAGGTCTGAATCCGAGCAACATTTCCCCGCCAACAGTTTCCTTTGGCGCGGGAAGTTGTTTCAAAAAGATGGCGTGAAATCCCATTTCAATTTCAATCTTCACATCCTGAAGCAAAGAGCAAGTCGAACTGAATGAGCGAAGAAGGAGAGAAAACGCGTTCGCTAGTCAATATCAACTGTGAATGAGCAATGCAAGGCAACAGGGGAAGTCAAGTCTGAAATGTGATTCCCGACCTGCCATTCTCATTCCTCCTGCTCTGATGTGTGTTAATTGAAAGTTATAATTAGCTCTGAGCGACAACCTTCTCTTTCCCGCCTCACAGCATGTTAAATGACTGATTTACTGTACCTCGTCTGAATACCAAAAACACTAAACCAAGAGGGGATATACGACAGACATTCTTATTAATATTCAATTAATTGTTTTGCATAGAAAATAATTTCACGTTGCTCTTTCTAAGAGTAAACTGAATTTCAACCCCAGTATTAACAAAAATAGCAAAGTGTGTGAAAAGTACAAGCCACTAAGTGGATTAAAATGCCACCTTTCAGGTACATTCAGTTCCTTTTTAGAATTGAAATAAATCTGTTAACCCTGCCAGCATTTGTGAGATTTACACATCCTCTACTATTTTTAAATGTCTGATAAAAAATAATAAAATTGAAAATTACCCTCATTAAAATGTATGAATGTAGCATTGGTGCATCTTAAGTAGGTACGTGATGCTTTTCTCCATCAGGGTTTTGTCGCCATCCCTCTTGATCTTCAAAGCAATAACAACAGAATTTGTGAAATTTGAGGGCATGTATTGTTGTGCCATATCTCCTGGGATGCATTCTAAAAGAATGAGTTGTTTATTAATTCAACCTAAAATGCAATCATGCCACAAATATCTGCAGCTCTCATTGTTTTCTTTTGTTGTTGTCTTCTTGTATGATCTTAAGGACTTACTTGTTACCACAGTCCCTGCCGCCAGCTACTACACAAACACATGTCAGTGCCAACAACCAAAAAACAACCAAAAATACAAGGTTGACAACAAGAAAACAGCTCCCCTTCATGACAAAAAGGATCAACTTTTTAGCTGACAGCAGAGATGAGAGGGCAGTGGTGTTTTGAGGAGGAAGCATAGGTGCACAGTGTACGACTGTTAGGACTGATTTTCATGTTCTTTTTGTGCAGGTGGAGCCAAATAGCATAGCAGCAAGAGATGGACGCATCAAGGAAGGAGATCGTATTCTACAGGTGCTCATTATTATAACATTGATCAAAGTACAGTCACGCGGGTTATATTATGCGCTTGTGACAGGTGCTGTACACACATTGCTTTGCCAGGTAAAATAAAGCCCTATTCAAAGTAACACCAGGCCTTACATCATCTCTGGCAACCCGCTTTGTCTCAGTCTCACTCCGTCTAATTATGCAAAACACCTTCTCATAGAACACAGTTAAACTGCCGTCGCCTTGTTTGCTAACGTTTTTCTGCATTGGGTTGAGCGTGTATCCGGTCTGCCACAACTACAAAACCCCCACTGGAATATTAACAAAGTGTAAGGCTTCGCACTCTTGACTCCACGCTTACCAATTACGGGCGCCAGGTGCGGGAGGCAAAGGTGGGCAGCCCCTCGTTAGGAGTTAACGAGAAGTCTGTTTCCTGTTACACAAGCTCATTTGGATAAAACTCTTCACCCTTAGTCTCCTTATGTTTACAGTCCTTTTGACAGAATGCAAAAATATCCCACATGAATAAATACATGTACACATTTTTTACTTCTTTTGAAGGCTTATTGATGTGTATGCAGACATATAGTTGTTGGCCCGATCTCACGCAACTAGTTGAGTTCATTGAATTCACCCTCTGCCTCCAACTGCCCGGCTTCTGATTGGCTGTAGCGTTTTCCCTGAAAGCCTATTTGAGGATCTAGTGCCACAGAGTCTGTAAGTTGTGCCGACAGCTCGGAGACCGTTTGTGCGGCAGTTGAGGAGCTCAGTTTTTAAAGTCAGCGCACCATCATTTCTTCTTATTATGCAGAGCCAAGTGGATTTGTTTGTGACTGGGGGAAATATCCAGTAACAAGCATACCGTGTACTAAATGGCCTTCACCTCAGCTCCACATTTTGGGGGGCAATTTGGAAAAGACACATTTTAATAAAGTGAATGAACAATGGAATGTTTAATGTATTAAAATGTTTTATATGAGCATCCTGCATGTTGTGCCTCATATGCTGAATGAACAACACAAAAAAAGCACAAACTGAATAATAATTGATAAAGTATGTGGATTGTTCCAGCGCCACCGTTAGCAATGTAGTGCAACATTAAAAAGCTTCAATATAGTTTGATGGACATTTACTGTCTGCCAGTCTGAACCACAGTCTGCCTGTCCTCCATATTCATACACAACACTCTCTGATTACCTCCATTCTCCTACGGTCGTGTTTCTGTATCCTAGTAGTGTAAATGATTGTGGGGAGCGGGGCCCGCTGTACTGCCGGCCCTATTATCTTCATCTGACAGCCCCATTACTCTTGTGAGGAAAAGATGAACGCCACCTGTCACAGACCAGTTAATTGTGTGTCTGGTTGTGTGCTGAGAGCAGACTCTCGTGAGGTCGGACTAGGCACTTGGAATTGACTCCCCTTACCGAGCATGGAGCTTTTCCCAGGGATTGGCGAGGAGTTGGAGGAAGTGACGGGGAGGAAAGACAGATGGAGAGATGCGAGACGGAAAGGTGCAAGAAGAGACTAATCAAAGGGGAGAATGGGCAGAAACAAGACAGCAAGAGGAGAGAAAGGTGTCAGCGTGTAATTTCTCAAGGTGTTTCTTGCCAGGAGCAGTGGGTTGTATTACACTTATTTTCTCATCCATGCCAGTTAAATGGAGGATGATGATGAAATTACCTTCCTTTTGATGTGCGGTTGGGACTTTCCTACAAGTTCATTCCTCTCCACATGAACACTTATTCTTGTCTGATGTACAGATAAATGGCTTTGAAGTGCAAGACCAAGAGAAAGCTGTTGCCTTGTTGTCAACCGAAGAAGCAGGGAGCATCATACTACTGGTGACAAGACCAGAAATCCAGGTAAACACTCGCACGCCCACACTGGCTCCCGGCCCTTACTTGAAAAGCTATGTCATGTCAAATCGCTGTCTAAGTGCCTTTTCTTTCATTCAAGTTGTCAGGGTGATTTTCTGCAGGGGCTAGGGGGGTGTTATGCGCACACACACAAGGCCAAAGGCAAGTTTCTTGTGATTTTTCAGTTGGAGGAGGAAGTATGGCTGGATGAGGAACAACACAAGCTGGTGGAGGAGCTGAAGATGGAAATCCTGGAGGAGAGGAGGAAGCAGAGGGGACATAACTTTGGCAGGGGGGATCAGGTGAGAGAGAAATGCATCAGAACTGAGGACAGAATTCTACACAACATGATAGTATTCATGGTGGTGGAAAAATTGTCCAATAATGGATTTCACTGAATGAGGGCCTCATCATTCTTCCAATTTCAATCGGCAACAAATATAAGGTCTTGCATGAATTAAACTGCACTTGAGGAGGACTTAATGTTTTTATCTCTCTTCATGCACCAGGATCTAGCTGAAGAAGAGATGACAACAGACACAGCCACGTGTTCCTCCAACAATCAAGACAAAGATAGTGGGTTTGGACACAGTACAGACAGTCCAGAACACCAGCCGCTGTTGGCTAGACTCCACAGGAGGAGCCCCGCCCATTGCCTGCGCGAGCGATGGCGGGCAGAGCATCCACACTCAAGACGGGGGACTGTAGTGCCACAGGACACCCCGAGTCCGAGGACAGTGTCCAAAGGCCACGAAGGGGTAATCAGTATTCGCAATGGCGGAGGAGGGGTTTTAGGTTTGGAGAATAGCTTTCAGCAACTTCTGGAACTCAAGTGTCAGATCCGGAATGGAGGCGAGTGTGGGGTTTACTCCATTCGACACAGTATAGAGTGTAGTGTCACTGAGCAGGGAGTGGATGAAGATGGCATAGATGGCGTTGGAGGAGGCAACGGCGTGGAGCAGGAGCTGAGGATGCTCAATGAGGAACTGCGCAGCATTGAGCTCGAGTGCCAGAGCATCATGCAGGCGCATCAGCTCCGCCAGGCCCACCAGCTGGACCCTTCGCAACCTGCGTCCTCACCGGGACGAAGCCCCAAAGATGGACACAAGCGGCAGGGCAGGTTGGCCGACATCCACGAACACCCCGAGAGATCGGACAGCGACAGGATTCGGGAAAAGGACACCTCCAGTGCCTACAACACGGCGGAGAGTGCGCGGTCCACACCGCTCGGGATGGACCGATCTCCTGATCATTCTCTGAAAAGACACATCAGCATTACCAACCAGAAAAACCTGAGACTGGCTTCCTCCAGCCCCGTCCCCATCGCCAATCCCCAGGTTGCACCCGGCCGTAACCGCCCGGCAGACCCGGGCCATGTCATCTCCAGCAGCCCGGACCAGAGCAACCCCTCCCGGTCCGAGTCGGACCCTGCTCTGCCTGCAGACGATGAGTGGTGTGAAAAGAAAGGGAGGAAGAGAGATTCCAGACGGGCGCTTCCCTATGGTTCTTATCAGACAACCCCCTATCAAGGCCAGGGAGGATCCAGGCAACTTCAGGTAGGTTTTATGAGATATGCTTTGTTTGGACTCACACCACAACAGCGAAAGCCCCCGCAGATGGCGCATGAACCGAGCCAAGTGCACTCTCTGCGCTGTATTAATCTCCACGAAAACGCCAGAGGGTGGACAAAAAAAGAAATGAGCTGTGAAGAATAGAAAAATAATTATTGTAACTCTGTTGGCTGTTCGTGTACTCACCATAAACCGACCTCCACAATGCAAAGGAGGGGTTCTAAGTATTATTGTAATGCATATAGTATTTTCACTATTGAAATTTGTGATAGCCACGTGATCGCACAAAGAAAGTTACCAAAAAATCAAGAGCCAAGACCACTTGCAGGGCGGGGGCTATGTGCACACCACGCCAGCCGCGGTTAAGTTGTTTTCTAATGCTAATTTGATCTATAATAATAGACGCAGATCTGAAGACAATGTTGCTAACAAATGTATCCTCCATTTCAGAGCTACATGCAGCTGCTCCAACAGCACTCGTCCCTGGAGTATTCCCAGAGCCAGCTGAGTCTGCTCAGTGTCTGTCGAGATCCCGTTCACCGGTCGGGACGCCCCGGGGAACCCCGTCTGGAGTGGAAGGTCAAAGTCCGGGCTGACGGCACGCGTTACGTGGCCCGGAGGCCAGCTCGCGACCGCATTCTGAGGGAGCGGGCGCTGAGGATCAGAGAAGAGAGGAGCGGGGGCATGACCACAGATGACGACGCGATGAGCGAGATGAAGATGGGCCGCTACTGGAGCAAAGAGGAGAGGAAGCAGCACTTGGCACGGGCCAGAGAGCAGAGGAAGAGGAGGGAGTTCATGCAAAAGAGCCGCCTGGAGTGTCTGAAGGAGGGGCCAGCCAGTGGTGCTGAGGGCCGGAAAGAGGTGAACATCTTGGAGCTCAGTCAGAAAAAGATGATGAAGAAACGAAACAAAAAGATCCTGGATAACTGGATGACCATCCAGGAGCTGATGAGCCACGGTGCTAGAGTGCCAGAGAGCTCCAAAGTACACAACGCCTTCCTATCTGTCACAACCGTCTAGCGAAACACCAGCAGGACTGCGTATTTTTAAGTGCGTAACATTAGGATCAGGTGGTCTGCATTTTAGGAACCACTGACTTGTGTAAAGGAGAAAAAATGTTTGTGAAATTTGATTCAAGTGTCACTGCTTGAAGGACTTCTGTAGCATTCCGAAGGCATCACTTCAAGAATGATTGAAGAGTAACAGTCGATCATTACGAGACCTCATCCATTCAGGACTTTATGGTAATGCGCTGGCTTTCGATATGAGATGCTTCTGGTAGCATTTTGGTTTGAAGTGATTCACAGAAAGAAGTGCGGAAGCAACACAATAGCTTCATGCCTATTACTACTGCGTATTGTCTCTCCGTACTCCATGTTCTTGTGTTTCACTGCATATAAAGCAACTCCACTGGCCTCGTTCAAAGTGGCATTTTTTTATATGGGGAAAATACAATATTTTTCACACTTTGTAAAATCTGCCAGTTTTTGTAAGGATTTTTTTACACTGAATTTCAAATTTTCTGGAAACATTTTTATTATGGTATGTTATTTATGTTATGTATCACCAAACCATCAAAGTCAGAGTTGACACGATTTAATTGTACTTGATGTTAGACCAAGAGAGACAAGAAGTCACTAAACTCATCTCCTAATAAACTCCTTTTATTGTGTTGATAATGTCAGGAGTCAGAAAGGTCTGAAAAAAATGAAAGCACTGAAAATATAATTATGTTATCTTGAAATCTCACATTATTCCTGAGCTGGGAGGGCTCTTTGAAACAGTTTTACCTCACCTCACAGTCAAAATCTCATACATCAAGTGGTTAATTTGATCGTTAACTTAAGTGAATGTGAATCCATACATGTGTGGATTGTTTAAAATGTTAAATAGATTCATATTTATATTCTTTACTGTTATTTTTATTTATTGTAAATGTTTTGTTTGTCGACTGATTAATGTTTCACATTACCTGGCCAGTCCAGGAAATGTATGAAATTGCAGTTTATCAGCTCAACCTGTTGCTTTTCACTGTAAACTTCATTGAAGAGGCCTTGAGTCGGGTATTTGTGGATGGTGGTATTTGTAATAAAACATTAATGGTGAAAAGAAAGATCAGGAAAAGACATCTCTTTGAACATTTTGTCTTTTGTCATATACTAATCTTCAAGATTTTTTTTTCGGCCCCTTGACTAAAAACACAAAAGTTACTAGATGGAACTTTAGCTCCAGATCAAACTTCTAATTAGTTTCCACTGTGTCCAAGTTGCTAAACATCAGCTTGCAAGCATTGTCATTGTGAGCACGTTGATGTTTAGCCTTACGCATCACTAACGTGTTCCAAACATGTTTTTTTGCCTTTTTACGGTGTGGATTTTCCTTTTTTTAACACAAAAAAACCTACCTGACAAAATCCTTATGGTGTTCACGCTATCTTCCACTGTTCTTCATGTCAAACCCACATGTCTGTTCCTCAGTGTGTGTGTGGTGTCAGGCACCATTACACAAGAGAAGGCATCCGTTTATTTTCATCCGAGCTACATAATGCAGGAAGATCTACGTAAGTGCCGGCACTGATCGATAGTATGCAATCAGCTACGCTCTAAAAACATGGATTCTGTTTGGGAGTGACTATAAAGAAAACGATTGCTAATTGAACACATGGGAGGGAATTAAATGCAAACTGCAATGAATGCCACACCTGCAAAAAAAAAGGACTCCACCTGCCTGCAGGCTGAACCAAACCAAAACAAACCAGGCCTCCTGATCTCCATATTCACACTCACAGGGTGTCATGAAGCATTTTGATGTTTTGTTGCTTGATAGCACACATGGCAATTTACCCTGTCGCTTTAGCTTACAGTATTCATGTATTCACATTGGGATGAATAACTGACAGCGTGTTTTGAGGGGGGGTTGAATACGGTGCAGAGAGGCTGTGTGTGTGTGTGTGTGTGTGTGTGGGGGGGGGGGGTACATGTCCATTTAGCAATAGGAGGCATCAAAGCCAAACTATACTCCCATTTCAAAGCATTAAGGAGACACCGGGGAAGTCTCCCCTTCCCCTGTCAATCTGCTGTGTCTGTCCCCAGCCCACTGAACTGAAAAATTAATGAGCGACATCAGACTGGCAACCCCCATCGCCGGGGCTTTTATGCATATCATTAAAACCCGGTAAAGCACTGCAGCCGTCGCGTTTGTAACAGCTAACCATCTCCCTGTATAATATCCAACTGGTTATATCTGTGTAAAAGAAGTCTGGAAAAACTGAGGAACATTTTTGGGGCAGTCCGCCGAGTATTAATCCCAATGTGCTCGGCAAAGATAATTGGATGTTCATCTGCTGCAGTTGTGTGGTGCAGCGGCCTATGCAGAAATAGGCCTGCATTTTGACACACACATGGAGTACAATGGCTTATAAATAGCTTAATGCTAAGGTATTGAGGCTTAGTTTGCAAGCGAGCTTCATGCATCGAAAGCGGATATAAAACAAGAATACCTTAGAATACTTTAACTCCAGTGAAAACAGATTATGCTTGTTCAAGGGGGAATTGCTTCTGCGTCCATGTTCCATAACTATGACGTTAGCACCGAAACCTCTGTCTGTTTATAATGCTTAAGCATGGCATTGTAGGTAAATTGCTTTTCTGGTTGCAACTGGATGGATACAGAAGCTGCAACAGGGATGATGAGAGAGGTTTCTTGTGCAAAGATTTAAAACAAGCAGATTCATCACATAATATCAGCTATAAAATATATATTAATAATATAATATTATTAATATATTCGAAAAAGTATCTGTGATTTATGTTTCCCGTTAGAATTTTCTGGAAAACTGCTATTATGGAAGAGGCTTTTTATATATGTATGTGTATATATATATATGTATATATATATATATGTGTGTGTGTGTGTGTGTGTGTGTGTATATATATATATATATATATATATATATATATATATATTTATGTGTGTGTGTGTGTGTGTGTATATAAATAAATATGTATATATGTGCTTCGTGGGCCGCTAAAACATCAAGGTTTTTGAATCGCTCTTGGTCTGGACTCTCCCCTGAGACCTGTTGTCCACACTACAAGGGGCCACGGACAACACAGATTGCAGGATCACTGAGCCACTCAACTCCTCCACCACGTTAAGGTGGCGATTAGCGTGTGGTTGGATATTTTCTCTCGAAATTATCTGCGATATTTGTCCTATACAGACTTAAGTAGCTTTTTGGAAGATTCATCATTATTTTTTAAGGGTTACATCGAGTCATTTAGCGATAGAAAAAACCCTTTAAAAAAAGATTTTGGCCCTTTTCAGGGCTCTCCACCAGTCTTATTCACCATGTACCGCGGAAACAACAAGAGAGCTGGCGCTTCACTTTGCCGACATCCTACGACTGGATACAACATGAATGTTGCACTTTCTCGTTCCAACAATGAAGTGCGCGCTCTGAAAAGGCAAGTGAGCGACTTCAATGCCTACATTGAAACTGCAGAGATCAAGTTGTGCCAGCTGTTAAAACGCCAAGAACTGGCCATGGATCGGATGGTTTGCTCACCAAGACCAACTTTCAACAACGAGACCAGTCAGAGACAAACCTTTGTTTTCCCTGATAAGGTCTGAAAGCTTTGTTTTGTGCTCGCAAACCATCCGATCCTTGGCCAGTATATATATAATAGTACAGTACATAAATTCGAGAGAAAATATCCAACCACACGCTTCTGAGAACAGATTGTACATCTTTAACGTTGTTCATTCTGTACACATGACATGCATTGTAGTCTTTCCATCCGGGGACAGGGATCCCTCCTCTGTCGTTTTCTTTCCTTTTTTCTTCATGGAGGCTCCAGCAACGAGCCTCCGTAACAACTTAAGTTATTTTTGTCTCCGATTCTCCAAATCTTTGGAATTTAACCGCAAATATTAAACCTGTTATTCCTTTTAAAGAGTGTCACATTCGTATGTTTTTATAGATAAACACTATAAAGTCCACATAACCTCACTTGATTTCCTTGTTGGAAAAACAAAAGTGAGAGGGCTGCACCTCCATGAGGAAGACCCCTCGGGGAGGTTAGTTAACAGTGTTTGTCCGAAACTTTACAAATGTTTATTACTCAGATCTAGAGCTGTCCAACACGCAGGATACAGCCTAAAATACATAAACACGATTATCCAAAATATGTATACCTTGACTCCTTTCCCTGATCTTCTGATCTTGATTTGTCTCATTCAATTGAGACAGCTGAGCGGCTTTGTGCTGCACAGTAGCGCAGATGAAAAAGACTGGTATCCAGGCTCTCTTTAATCTAGCGATGCCTTTGAAGCGGCTGCGAACGAGTGGGACTGGAACAAAGTCAGGTGCCGGTGTAGACGACGTAATGGGAAGCGGGTGACATTTTGTTTGAGTTTGATTATGCTGTGGGCCATTATCCCAAAAAACAACACAGGAGTTACGCACACGATGCTTTGTTGTAAAAGAAGAAAATGTGATGTGAAAATGCAGCGTGTCTGTGGCCTATTCGAGGGGTCATTTTAACACAAATGACTTTGAAATAGATTAATACTTTTAAAATGCTACCGTAGGTTACCATTTACAGCAGGATCCGCCCTGGCTGCTTCTTCTCAGCATGTGGGGGTTTACAAAGATAAGGTCCTGACTTCTTTCAACTGACTGCTGATTAACTGGTTTGATGACGTCAAGCTGTCTAGTTATGAGCAACTGCCCTTTTCAAGACGCATAAAGGATTCCTCAAAAGGATACTTTACTGCTCGCCCATGTAAAAGCTGTGTGTTGTACTGCCGAACGAACGACCCACCGAGGTACATTTGTTCCTTCATTGTTTGTCAGCCATGTTTTTAATATGAAGCCGCACAATCAAGAGTTGTCTTATTACGGAATAAGTGAGTTATTATGGTCGGGGTAATGAGTGATCATTTTCCATTCATTAAACCTCTATTTACGGCCTCAATTATGCGCTAATGGCTCATTCAGACTTGTAATTAACTAAATGGATATTGTTCACTCTTTTCCTCATGAAGGATAAGTGACTGAACTTCCACAGGAGTAAAAATACCAAAATGTCACCACTATTTTCTCTTATTATTCCTCTCCCTGCATTGACTTATTATTTTTCTTCCTAGGCTTTGACAACAAAAGTCAGCATTTTCTATGTCATTCTTTTTTATAATACAAATCAACCTATGGGAACTTTTCTGCTCTTACTCACTCAGGTGATGTTACCAAACAAGAAACCTTCAAATTAGATTTACCATGCATTGCTTAAAGGCCAGTGTGGCGATCGTCGTCAAACGCCCCATTTCTACTGATTCTCAGTCAGACAAAGAGAACATGGCACGGTTTCAGCAGACCCCCACACGCCGAGCAACTCAAGGAGGAGGAACAGAAACCCGCAGTCGTAGCAGCAACGGCCCAAGCTCAACGCGAGCGTTAATTGGCTGTATAAAATATTCAGTGGACCAGTCCCGACACAGAGATAACGTTTGAGATAATTGGAACAGAATACATATGGAAGCGGCGGGACGGCAGGGAACAAACCGACTGTAAGTGTTCCTCTGTGGGATGGTGGGAGGGAGAAGAAGATGGTTTATAAATGAGAAGACCAATGGCTGGCCGGGATGTAGAGTGAGGCACAGTAGGTGTGTGGAGAATATTGCTCCAGATTCCTTTTTGGAAATTTTAATGAACACACATTTTATTAATCAAATGGATAGAAAATATAGTGTTGTTTTGTTCCAAATGACTTGAGGTATAATAAAACCTCTTAGAAATGTGATTGTTTAAATACCTCTTAGAAATGTGATTTTTCCTGTTTATATTATTCAAAACCTCCTTTTATAATATACATCATCTGTGTAATCGGAGCGCAGACATTTTCAAGAAGCGGTTTCGGTCTCAGCAGTGCTAACAGCGGTCGGTTGCAGCTGGTTTCGTAATTCCAGCGGAGCTGACACCTGGATTATCCTGAGAGACAAACACATTCTGTGTCATTCTCTCCGGTGGGTTTTGAAGGCTTTGATTGGCCAGCGATGCGCTCAGCTATTGATCTGGCTGACTGCTTCTTCTCTTTTTCAGTTATTACTGGTTTACTGCGGGTGCCC